AAATAAAAATCATCCATCATTTCGTACGGACAAATTCACAGCCTTTTCTCTTTACATAAATCCAGATGCTCTCGGCACCTAATTATTTCAGTGCCCTGACATGAGCAAACTATTTGGGTAACTAAGCAACCCTCTGAGATAAATTTATACCGGAGTCACTGACCTACGGGTTAATTTTGCCACTCACACGTACCCCCGAACTTATATCATCCAAGTAAAGCATCTTTCAAATATCTGATTTATTGTTATCGAGTTAACTTGTGTTTTTGTAATGACCCTTGTAGGTATTGTATTCCTTGTTTTTAGGACACTTTGCATGTCTGAAAGACTCCAAAAGTTTTTATCTGCGGCATTACCTTGAAAAAATTGTTTACCCTCTCGTTCATTTTATGCTTTTCCCATTCCATTTTTCTAGATAAAAACAAATTTCCGGAAGATAAAGCGAAAGTAGGAATGAGGGTCAAATGTGAGGACTCTAATAGGAAGTTTGAAGGACATATAAGGATTTCGGTGTTTCGGCATTTCCTGCCAAGGTTTTATGAAGTTATTTTGACATTGTATTTCCGGATCGCGCCGCCAGATTTTAGTTTTCGGTGGTCACACTTCGCTTGATTCCTTTACAGATTAGGATATTTTCTAGATTGTCTTAAACAAAGTGAAGTCTGGAAAAATAATTCTGTTAACGTCAACAGCATAGCTTTTATTTAGATGGTATTTTACATAATCTTCTTTTATTAAACAAGAGGAATGAAGAAATTTAGAAAAAGTTTATACCGAGTGCCAAAAAAAGTGTAACAGTATTTGTGCATAGATAGGAAATAATACAAAGATCCAATACATTGTAAATTAAATTGACATACAATAAGTTACCATATACGAGGCCTATCCACAAAGTAAGAGTACTCAATTTTTTTTAAATCGAAACGGCAGTATACAGGATGTTAAAAAAAAGAGTGTAAAATATTTAAGGAGGTAATAGTATGAACCAAAATAAGCAGAAAAGTCGCAATAAATATGGGTCCGCAAAGTAACGGTTGCGGAGATACGGAATGTTTTATGTTTTTTAGCCCCTTTTTTATTTTGCAAAAACGTTGTGTATTTTCTTATAATAGTTGGTTGATGTTTAGTGAAATAAACAGTACGTATTTGACAGTTGTTCTCAGTGCACAAGTTTTCTTTCGCTATAGCTGGTTACTCTAACGCAGAATTAATAGACATGCATTTCATGTATGGTCGTGCTAATGGGAACGCCACCGAAGCGCGACGTCTTTATGTTGACGCTTATCCAAATCGCCAGATTCCTTCAGAACGCATGTTGGAAGAATTCACCAAAGATTGCGTGATACCGGTTCCTTGAGCAAACAGTGCCATTTATCCGGAAGACCAAGGTCGGTATCCACTCCTAGAGCAGAAGAAGAAATTCTAGCACTGGCAGAGCAGAATCCAGGTACGAGTGTGCGGAGAATATCAGCCGAGGTAGGAATTAGTGGTCCTCTTGTTTGGAGAATCCTTCACGAGCAACTGCTTTATCCATACCATGTGCAACGAGTACAGGCCTTAAATCCAATAAATGATCATCAAGCACGTTTGGTTTTTTGCCGCTGGTTTCTACGTCATGATGCTAAGACCCTCGTTTTTTTGCAAACATTCTTTTTACTGATGAGGCCGGGTTCACAAGAAATGGAGTGTTTAATTTTCACAATACGCATATTTGGGCCGACGAAAATCCTCATGCTCTAATAGAATCTGGACATCAGGCACGTTTTTCATTAAACATTGGGATGGGTATTGTAGGTGACAGGTTTCTAGGTCCTGTTGTTTTACCAAACCGATTAACAGGCGCTGCTTACCTCAACTTTCTGCAGAACACACTGTATGAGTTTTTGGAAGACATTCCTTTGAATCAAAGGCAACAAATTTGGTTCCAGCATGATGGTGCTCCAGCTCATTTTTCCATGGCCGTTAGAGAGCATTTACACCAAACTTTTCCACATAGATGGGTAGGAAGGGCCGGACCTGTTTTATGGCCTCCAAGATCGCCTGATCTGAACCCTCTAGATTTATTTGTTTGGGGATATTTGAAGACATTAGTGTATGGTACTCCTGTAAATAGCCTGGAAGAGCTGCAGCTACGGATTAATCAAAGGTGTCAAGAAATCCAAACCAAGGAGGGTGTTTTCGAAAGAGTTCGATTATCGTTGAAACGAAGATGTCGTGCCTGCTTGGAAATGGACGGAGGGCACTTTGAACATCTTCTGTAACTTTGTTTTTTGTTTGTTAAAAGCTTCCTTTGTCGGTTTATTCCTAATAAAATAAAATGTTTGAAAAACGAATAGTGGTCCATATCTCCGCAACCGTTACTTTGCGGACCCATGTTTATTAAGACTTTTCTGCTTATTTTGGTTCATACTATTACCTCCTGAAATATTTTACACTATTTTTTAACACCCTGTATTTATGAAAAATTTATATATTCAAACATTATTTTTCGTCTCTGGGGTGTAGTGGACCAACCACGTTTCGACGCTAGTCATAATACAGTCAAGGAATTGTTCTCCTTCCAATTTCAAGCAAGTTTTTCTCTTATAATTTCATGCAGAAGAGATCTAGAGATTTGTGCAAACACTCTATGTTCTCTCGTCCAAAGTCAATCGATGGTCGTCCCTAAGCATTTTTTCGATCTTGTACACCACCTCTTCAATCACGATTGAGGGACGCCCACTCATTTGTTCACCATGAACATTCGTTCTGCCAGCTTTATACTCCCTTTCCCTTTGAAAGAAGAAATCGGATTACGTTCCTCACCTCACAGCTGGTGGGATTCGGAATAACGCATTTCAACACGCCACTACAACAACAGTTCTCAACTGACTCAAACAAATGAGCGCTCCTTCTACTCCCAACACCTTGGCCTTGAATGTAATGTTGCCAACTTTGTCGAAGTACTTTTACTTTGTGGATATGTCTTGTATCACATCACATATCGCCCACTTCAAAAAGTTGTTAACGTCACAGGTGCAAAATCCTTAATAAAGAAAAAATAATTCAAATGCTTGTAAAACACCTCGTATAAAAGTATTTTCCAGTTTCTGGGTTACTTGAGCGGGCGTTCCATTTATCAATTTTAGTGGCATATAATTTTCAACCTAAAACTGTATTTGATTTTACCCCTTTTTTCGTGAAAGCTAAATACTGCTTAGCTGGATGTCGATAATAAATAAAGCTCCGCTGGATGATATGACCTGACGTTTTCGAATAACAACTTAGCAACGTCCTGACATTTTGATGAATAACTGATCTAACCTATTCGCTGGATTTGCGCTAATAGATGATCCAAAGTGCCAACACAAATGAAGCCATTTCGTAGAGGGTGGATTCTGCTGGTTTTATGCTTTTCTACCGAGAAATTTCTAACAGCGGATTAATATGTACTGAGGTGCTTTGAGGTTTACCTTTCGCACTTGCCGGGGTTTGAAACCCAAAGCGTAATGTAATTTTCGATTCCTTATATTTTATAAACAAATTATACTTTTTAGTAATTTATTAATTTATACTCGGATTGTCGCGCGACAAAACCGCGTATGTAGGAATGGTGTAAACTGACCTTTAGTTTTTTTAATTTTAAGTATATTTTTTATATAAACTTGTATCCTTGATGCCTTCCTTTTTGAGACACAGGATGTTGAAGTTTGAATAAAGTTATATCTATAATTATCTTGTGCCCAATGGAAGATACTGAAACGAAATTTTGTGTGCACAATACATGAATAAAATGACATTCAACGTGAGAAAATTAAGTCCCAGTTCAAGCCAGTGGCGTAGATATGATGTACGCTGGTTACATTTTTCTCGAAATATCTTTGCTTGCCCGGAAGATATTTAGGGACGTAATATTTTTTTAAAAAACATTAATATCGTATATTTCAAAAATAAAGGCTTCTAAATATCTCAAAAATAAAATACAGGGTGTCCCAATATTCTAATATTCCGGGTACGTGGAGCTACTATACAGGATGTTCCACAGTGACGAGATATTAGACATATTTCAGAGACTACTTCGATTTTAATTATGAAAATTTGGGCAATAGTGTTTTCGGGCATGCCCTTCTTAACTAAAATAATGACATCTACCTAACGCTTCCGGTTATACCGGAAATTGACGTCATCGTTATTTTAAATGGAACATCCTGTATATTATTACAATTTTGGATTCTACGTCAATTTTTAGGTGAAATAAAAAAGCACTGCCTAATTAAACTAAAACTCTAAACTTCCCTGTCATAATTTCAAAATGACTTAATTTCATACAGGGTGGTAAAAATTTAATGCCGAATTTAGTCAACTTTAAACCATCTTAACTTATTTTTTTTTAATGGAACACCCTGTATATTTTTGCGCAGCCTGATGAACAATTTTATTCTCTGATTTTTAAGGTATTTACTGTTTTTCGTGCATGCAGTCAACGGATATCGCATTATTAAATGCTAAATTCGGCATTAAATTTCTACCACCCTGTATGAAATTAAGTCATTTTGAAATTATGTTAGGGAAGTTTAGAGCTTTAGTTATGTCCCCTATAAATTTTATGGCTATAATTTTATTATTTTTGAATTAGGTAGTGCTTTTTTAATTCCGCAAACAAAGTAAACAGATTTAACAGAACTGTGAAAAATACCACAGTTTCTATTTAATTTTGCTCCATGCACCTTGTATAAGAAAATATTGTTCGATAAAAGAATTGCTGTGTACAGAAGCATAAAAAGTATTACATTCAGATCTGTTTACCTTTCGAAAGGTAATCGATTCGTAATCGGAACAGGTTAATTTATTTTTATCGTTGCCAACGGCTTTGCTGTATTTTCCACGTCACAAAAATAACCAGTTAACAAAAAAATTGTGGCTGGTATATACTTGCGTTTGTGTACAGTTACCACAATGTTTCATACAGAATTCATAAGATGAAATATTACTGCATGCAGGACACGTCAAATTCATTTTACCTCAAAACTTATTTTCCCCGTCTGTTTCTGTTTCATTGTGTTAAACACGTAGTGGGCGTAGTTAGTGGCATCTGGAACAACAGAAATGTAATATTAGCGATTTATTTATACGGGGCTGTCTCAAAATATTACAGAAATGTATTTTTTAATTGCTAATTCAAATGAAATCAAGCATTTTTCTAAAAATCTTTTCAAATTTTCTTTCAAAATTTCACTCTTAATTAATGAAAACTATTTAAGAAAAATCTTTGATTTTTGGTTTAGTTCTGGCAGTTAAAGCGTCAGCGATTGGAATGAGTAGAGTGGTGTGTACACGTTTCTTTGTATTTTCAAAAAGAATCGTTACGGAGTAGCAGTTTAGTCCATTTGTTTTAGTAGATATATTTAAGGTACCAAATAAATCGATCTTTGATGTACAGCTAAGGGATATATTTAGAAACACCTATAATGGAGTTTTTATCATCAAGGGCGATCTAAAATGATTTATCAGTAGACTAAGGGAAATGTTATTTCAATAAACGCAGAGTCATCGACTGATTTTAGGTTTTAACATTGGTATTGATAAAATAAAAGCATTGCTACATTACCACCAAATAAATCGAATTGCAACTAAATATTTTACCTTGGGGAGTGAAATATTCTACGCCATGTCAGAACGGATTTAATTGCTTGAAGAAATACATAAACACATTATTGGCCAACGAAGATTCCAACTCAATTGGTGTCTTGAGATTTATACACAATACTCTATAGTGTAGTACGAGATGATGTATTGAAATGTAAACTTCTACTACTGCTTCTTTTAAACAGAGCTTCTCGGCGTTCTTCGGAAAGATTTACTCCATTAATATTGAATAATGAGGTTCAACAGCTTACTCGTGCTCCTCTATTTTACGAAGAAAAATATTAAGTTAATTTTACCTACTTCTAGCTAAATCTGGTTCTTTGTTGGTGATATCCGATTTATTTTTTGCATTCGATTGTCTTTCATCCGCAAAGATGGTCGATATTTTCTTGAAAGGCAATTTTTCTGTTCGGTCTAAGAAAACTCTATTTTAACGCCCTTTGCGAACGTAAAGAGATGTCGAATAAAGTACATTTATCTACATTTCAATTGTGACTCACTCAAAGAACCAGCTATTGAAGGAAGATAAAATATGAGGTGGGGCGGGTGGATCATAATAGAATTTGTAATATAAATCACGTAAAGTCGATATAGACTCTTATGGTCATATAAATATTTTCTAATATCGGTTAGGAAAACATAGTTTTTTTATAATATTTGCTGTAAATATTGATCGTGTTTACTATAATTAATTCGTATGGGAAGATGTAGCAGCAATATTACAATGAAAAATTTGTTGCTCTCATTTTTGAAATTAAATGCGTTGTTGTTTATACAGGATGAAGTTTATTTTACTTTTTGAAATAATTTTAATTACTACTGAACTTCAGTTACGTTTGAATTAGGTGTAAATTGAATTCAGTAAGTGGATCCTTGTTGAAATTCGACAATAATCCATTGGAATGCAACTGGAAATGAACTGAAATCAAATGAAATTTTAATTAGAATTTTACTGAATTGCATTCTGATTATATTTTTCCTGAATCCTAGTTGGATTTTTATTGGAATAAAGCTCTAATATAAATCCGTTTAGAATTTTATTTCTAATTGAATGCAAATTATATTACAATTAAATGAATGAATGAATTCAATCGGATTCTTTTTAGACTAATTTCTTATTCCAACTAAGGTTGAATCATATTCCAATTAATTTCAATTAAACCTAATTGTAAGTGGATTGTTGTTTGGAATTGGAATCTGGTAATAATTCATTGGAATGCCATTGGAATATTCACCTTCACCTTAAATTTATCTTGAATTGCAGTTATATTATTACTGGGTTTCAATATAACAAATCTATTTAGAATTCAATTAATTCAATTAATTAAATTCTTATTCCAACGAAATCAAATTTCAAATGAATTCAAGTGGATTATTGTTGGATTGGAACTGGGATCTGACAATTAATCCAATGAAATGTAATTCTAACCGGATTTTTGCTGAATTCCAAAAGGATTTTAATCAAATCCTTGATTTTGATTTCAATAGAAATATAGCTCCAATACAAATCCATTTGGAATTCAATTTCTAATTGAATTCTTTTATAATTCAATATTTCAACTAAATTCGGTATATATTCTAATCAAATTTCAATTGAATTCAAGTGGAATATTGTTGGATTGAAAATGGGATCTGACAATCCAGTGGAATGCAGTCCTAACAGAATTTTTGCTGAATGCCAAAAGGATTTTAATCAAATCCTTGATTTGGATTTCAATTGGAATAAAGCTCCAATACAAATCCATTTGGAATTCAATTTCAAATTGAATTCATTTAGAATTCATTATTCAATTAAATTCTTATTTGAACTAAATTCGGTTTATATTCCAATGAAACTTCAATTGAATTCAAGTGGAATATTGTTGGATTGGAAATGGGATCTGACAATTAATCCAATGGAATGCTGTTCTAACAGAATTTTTGCTGAATTCCAAAAGGATTTTAATCAAATCCTTGATTTGGATTTCAATTGGAATAAAGCTCCATTAGAAATTAAATTCATTTAGAATTCAATATTCAATTAAATTCTTATTTGAACTAAATTCGGTTTATATTCCAATCAAATTTCAATTGAATTCAAGTGGAATATTGTTGGATTGGAAATGGGATCTGACAATTAATCCAATGGAATGCTGTTCTAACAGAATTTTTGCTGAATTCCAAAAGGAATTGAATTCATTTAGAATTCAATTTCCAATTAAATTCTTATTTCAACTAAATTCGGTTTATATTCCAATCAAATTTCAATTGAATTCAAGTGGAATATTGTTGGATTGAAACTGGAATCAAATCCAAATTGCATTTCAGTTGCATTTCTCCTTGCTTCCAATCCATATATTCAGTTGGATTCTGATAGGGTTCCAATAGAATTAGTCTTTTTTTTTTTTGTTTTAAGGGGAATAGCAGTATTAATACCTTAATTAACCAAGTACAAAGATTGTAAATTTAATTTGTATGTTACGGACATCCACACCGTTTGCTTCTGTAAAATATATTCTGTAGGGTTTTTGGAGCCTAAAGCTAGACTTGTGTATATGATAGGTATACGCCGCCGTATAATTGCGATAGCTTATTGTATTACCTTTGATCTTAACCCGTAATTAATAATTCAACAGATGGATTATAATCTGTTGTACTCAGATTGGGTTCTCTTTACCAATTTCAAAGTTTTATGAACAATTGGATATAAATCATTTGTAATTCCCATTTAAACTTTAAATTTAATTTTAAATGTCTTCTCGATAGAATGCACCTGATTCTCCTGAAAATCTTCGGTTTGTAGTTTCGAACTTGCATTAGTACGAGAGCTGTGAAACTTCTGCTTACAGGGTGGCCATTTTCTGTATCCTTGTACAAATAATTTTTTAAGATATAGAATTGATTGAATTAGTAAAGTTACATACGATTTTAATATCATTTTAAACACTGAGTATGTCTAAATTTCTAAACTATCCTGTAAAAAAAGGTTGTGTTTTTAATGTTAATTAATTTTTAAACTGGAAGATGATGAAAGCTTGGAATAAGATAGTTTTAGGTAGAATTTAAATTTTTCAATTTGATTGAAATGAAATTAATCGAACCATATAAGAACACAAAAAATAATCACCCCGTACAATAAAAAATTTAATAAGTGCTTGTTATATATCACTGGCATTCACTTATCCGTGCCTCTACTTGGTTCGCTTGAATTTGATAAAATTAATTTGTACATTAATAATTTAGGTAAGAACTCAGGGCCTGCTCTGATTTAGAAATATTAAATTGAATTTCAGGTGCCGTAAATTTCACGTTGGCTGTCAGGTGAGCCCCGGCTGGTGCTGGAAATGTCAAAGGTAAGTAAACTCCCACTATTCCAAACACGAGGTATTATTTTAAACGTTTCTCTACGGAATTAGTAAAACGATGCTTTAATTTATTTTTCCGCCGTTCTTAAGCTCAGCCCGTGTAATTTATTTAGAGCTTATTTCTGCGTAAAAGGCAGAACGGTTCGCTTGACAAAAATGAACGGTCCACGTGAAGCGGAAAACGAGAATACGAACGGTTCTCGTTATTCGAAAAACTTGTACTTATATGAAGTATTATTGGAGTCGTAGGAGGACTAATAACTTCGAAATTATAGTTTATTAATAGCAGGATAACAGCTACGAATTATTTGCGAGCTTAGTGCTCTGTAACATACAGCTATGTTCGTCATGTATATTGAAAATAGACATCGTTAATTCATGCTATAGTCACATAAAGCGCTATGTTCGATACGTTCACTGTTACGTTAAAATAGCCACATAAGTCTATAAACATAGAGAACATAACGAACATAGCTCTCCATGTAATCGGCTGTTCTAACGTACAGCAAATATAGCTAGTATAGCGCTCCGTGTGGTCATAGTATTTGCTGTTTGTTACATCTATTAAAATATCATTTCTACCTATGTTTTATTATACGTACCGAATATAGCGTTCTGTGTGGTCATAACATACATTTATAGACAAAGAGAGTATAACAAACATAGCGAACATAGCGCTTCATGTGGTCGTAGAATTTTTTTCTAAAGTGTATAGTGAGTATAGTTGGTATAGCGCTGCGTGTGATCATAGTATTTGCTATTCTAACTCTAACGTGTATAGCGATGTAGCTAGTGTACGGTTCTGTGCAGCTCGAACATTAAATAGACGTATACAAATATTTGAGACGACAGGTATTTTGAAAACATCGTTAAGTACTTTTATCTATTTTATTATATTGTGCGCGCTGTGTTTAAATGTGTCTAGTGGCCTAAGTGAACATAGCGCACTTAACATTCGTTTGTAGACATAGAGAATATAATGAACATAGCGAACATAGCGCGTCATGTGGTTGTATAATTTGTTGTTCTAACGTGTATAGCGAGTATAGCTAGTATAGCACTCCATGTGGTCATAGTATTTGCTGTTTTAACGTGTATAGCGAACATAGCTAGTGTATGATTCCGTGAAGCTCAAACATTAAATAGACGTAGCTATACCAATATTTGCGACGATAGATATTTTCAAAACATCGCTAAGTAATTTTATCTATTTGATTATAATGTGAACGCTGTTTTTAATATGTCAAGTGAACTAAGTGAGCATAGTGCACTGGGTGGTCTTAATATACGTTTATAGACATAGAGGACATAACGCACATAGCGAACATAGCGCTTCATGTGATCGTAGAATTTGTTCTTCTAAAGTATAGCTAGTATAGCGTTGCGTCATAGTATTTGTTGTTCTAACGTGTATAGCGAACATAGCTAGTGTATGGTTCCGTGCAGCTCTAACATTAAATAGACGTAGCTGTACAAATATTTGCGACGATAGATATTTTTAAAACATCGCTAAGTAATTTTAGCCATTTGATTATAATATAAACGCTGTTTTTAATGTGTCTAGTAACCGAAGTGAACATAGCGCACTGTGTAGTCTTATCATACGTTTATAGACATAGAAAACATAACGAACATAGCAAACATAGCGCTTCATGTGGGCGTAGGATTTGTTGTTCTAAAGTGTATAGCGAGTATAGCTAGTATAGCGCTGCGTGTGGTCATAGTATTTGCTGTTCTAACGTGTATAGCGAACATAGCTAGTGTAGGGTTCCGTGGAGCTATAACATTAAATAGATGTAGTTATACAAATATTTGAGACGGTAGATATTTTCAAAATATCGCTAAGAAATTTTATCTATTTGATTATAATGTGTCTAGTGACCCAAGTGAACATAGCGCACTGTGTGGTCTTAATATACATTTATAGACATAACATGACGAACATAGCAACCATAGCGCTTCATGTGGTCGTAGAATTTGTTCTAACGTGTATAGCGAGTATAGCTAGTATAGCACTCCATGTGGTCATAGTATTTGCTCTTTTAACGTGTATAGCGAACATAGCTAGTGTATCTCTAACAATAAATAGACAGCTGTACAACTATTTGCGACGACAGATATTTTGAAAACATCGTTATTTTAACTATTTGATTATAGTGTGAACGTCGTTCTTCATGTGTCTAGTGATCCAAGTGAACATAGCGCACTGTGTAGTTCTAGCTTCATAGGTTTATGAAATTAAATTTACTTACCACCTAATGGAAAAAACTGAGAAAATATGTGTTTGAACGACTCTTCATCAACCATTCCCGTCGGGCATTCCTGTAATAAAAAGAATAATAATGATAATAATAATCTAGAGTAAGATGGGATGTTCATATTGAATGAACAAAAGACATCTTACAAGTCTTTTCATCCAATACGAGAATAATAAGAAGTTCTTTTACTGTTCAGTTATCAGTTGTTTTCTTTTTAAGTTCGTAAATTTCTTAAAAACAAATAATCGACGTGATTAATGGTTTTAAACATTACTTTCGATAAAACCAAGAAAACAGCGAGAAATGGATATAAAAGCGAATCAGTCGTAACTTCAGAAATAACTGCTCGATATTCAGCGTCTACTTTCTTAAACAAGCATTTCGATGAACGCTTCAAATCTGCCAGTGAAAAATTCCCGCTAAGGAAATTTTATTTTTTATTACCGGTTCGGATTTACCAACGAGTACATTAAATTAACTTTTGCAAAACCCGATAATCATTTTTAATTTTTAATGAGCTTTTCAAGTTATTACTACCGAAGCGTACTTTGTTAGATTTAGCTTTATTAAACCTGATAAATTATTAACAAGGTTTTACGAGGATTTTGCAAATCCTTTTATATTTAGGTGACGACAACAAATTATGGGCAAACATTAGCAAAGCTGCTGCACATAGCCGTTAGCCAGCGACGGAGATGGTGAAAGATACCGCCACTAAGAATTCCAGAATTTCGACTGAATATTTTGGAAATTGAATAAGAGCATTTAATTCAGGTGGCTGGTTTAAAAAACAATCAATAATAAAATAGAGGAGTTTTAATTTTAAATATAATATAACCACCAGATGATAAAATCTTAGTATTTAAAATTTTCACGTCAATGATTTTTTTGGACTTAATTTATAACAAATAATTACTTTTTTTGTGAAATTGACAGTTTTGAAGTTATTTTCAATTTATTTAACCATGTCAAAAGCTTATTTAAAATAAAAAAAATAATTACTCTAATAAAACACCAACCATTAAATAATAATTTATAATTTCAAAAATATTCAGCTGCGCCGAAATTTTGGGGTTCTCAGTGAGGTATCGACTAGCATCTCCGCTACTGGTTGATAGATTCGTGTAGCAAAATTTTTGCTGTTAGTTAAGTCATCACCTAAAGTTTTATTAATCTACGTATAAAATTTATATAAATTTGACTAGCTTTCTAAATTTTGACACTGTACCTCAAAAGTGAAGCGTTCAACGGCCTGTTTTTAAGAACTCATATTATTTTGAAATGTTATACCGCCAGGTTATAGGACCCCGTACACCTTATGGAAATTGGTCTTTCTGTGAAATTTCCTGAAAAATTGATATCTTGTCCCTTTTTTATCACTGATCAAAAGTCTTCAGGGCTCACAAAAGGGTCAAAAAGCAGTGAGAAATTGACAACATATCAATTTTTCAGGAAATTCCACCGAAAGACCAATTTCCTTAAGGTGTCTAATGTCCCCTGCGGCGGAGGTGTATAAATGTCTCGTAAGGAAGTTACAACCCTATTAAGAATGAAAAATAGTGTCACCGAATCAGATCAGATAAAAAAAACGTGATACACCCTGTATAAGGGCTTAACCTGAAAATTTAAAGTGTGGCTTTTTTATTCAGAATAAATGTTAAATAAATTTTCTTATTGAGCTTTTGTGTCGTGAGGATTGACCCCTTAACAGTGTATATTCGAATATATGAAAAATCCCGCCTTTTAATTCTATTTTAACGCGTAACTGGATGAATTCAAGTGTATGCCGCAAAGCCGATCGGAACACCTTCCTTCAATAATGACTACACACAAGTGGGTGTATTCACAGGAACACGTAGGCAGTTGACTCGTATTGTGTTATTTATCGTAAAACATATTTTTCGTTGTAGTACGTAGGTTTACCACTGGGTCTTTTCATCCGTTTTTGAATACATTGAATACATCCATTCACGGCCCTCAATTCTCTTTCTCGCTCTCCCCTTCACCAACCTGTTTGAATCCTCGGTACATCAATTGGATTTCTTTCCTCGTAAATTTTGTTTTCGATGCTAATTTCTGCAACTCCTCAGGCCGATAGCGTGCTATGTGGAAAGTAAATTCGTCGTTGTCATCGTCTGGAAAACAAATTTCTCGGTCAGACAAGGTTTTCAACAAAATTCAAAAATTAACAGAGTAATCAACTGTATCTAATTAACCACTTAGTTTATTTAAGGCAATGTGCAGTTCAGTATCAAAGTTCCTATAAAAATAATGCAACAAATACCTACTTCCTAAATAGCACGTCAAATTACCCAAAAACGTATTCGTATCATACTATTAAATCATATATAAATAGATTAAAGTGTATTATTTTAATCTCCAAGGTTAAGGGTCAATAACCTCAATTAATAGTTGAAATCAGATTTTTCTAAAGTATTTTATATACAATGTGTCCCGTTCTTCAGGTTAACACCTCTGGGAATTTGAGAAGGCTGTGGACTGAAGGGAGGTTATATTCTACTTATCATTTTATTGATGCAACAAAAGTAGCCTATTACGATTTTTTAAAGGGGTCGTTTTTCCAGAAATTCCAGAAATTAGACATTTTTTATCAAATAGATAATATTTGATAATAACGACAAATGTCTATTGAGTGTTTTTTATGGGGTGCCAAACTTCGAAAAATCAGACAACTAAAAATTGTAATAAGCAGGTCAAAGATTGCCATGAAAGTGAAAACAAGTACCAATCGGACAAAGAATAATACAGACACTATAAATTTAACATCATTAATTGCGGCCACAGTAAAAATAATAATTAACGTACAAAAAATGTAGGTAAAGAATTATAAATATTAAGTTGTTAAATAAAAAATTGCACAACAATCTAAATTAAATTTTAGTTTTCGTCACCAAACCTCCTTCCAGTCGAACATATTTTTCCAATCGTCTTCTTAAATTTAAAAATATCCTTCCAATTACACGGAATGAATGAAGTAATTTTAAACAATGTTTTAAACAATAATTGAAATAATAGAGGTAGGCTATGATGAAAAATGAAAGCTTTATTGTTGACATTTTTGACATTTAACTGTTACTGATAAATTAGTTAGTTGTATAAAGTAAGACTGCAGAATATATATCTTTACAAGAAAAAATAAAGATTGTTATATTAAGGGGTGATTTCCATAGTTTTAGAGAAGTTGCCGAAATCTTTAATGAGCGGCACCAGAATAAAACTATATCTTACATTATTGTTCACAGGATCAACAAGTTGTTTGATGAAACTGGTAAGAAATTTGGTAATTAATATGTAGTATGTATTTAATTGTTAAAATTCTTGCTAATTGTAGGTACACAAATGAATTGTTGGTCCAATAAATGACCAACAACAAGTAATATTACAATATTTTCGTAATAACCCAAAAAGTAGTCTCCGAAATGCCAGTTTGGTGTTAAACTGTTCGCAAAATAAAATTCATCGTTGTCTAAAAAATCATAATATAAACCAGTTTAAGCCCAAGTTTCTTCAAACATTGGAAGAGGGCGATGAGGAAAGGCGAATGGAATAATTTTGTTGGTAGTCACAGGGAAATTATTTAAATGACAATAATTTTCTGGGCAATATTATTTTCACTACCTTTACGACAAACGGAATCGTATCTTCTCAAAATANATTATTGTTCACAAGATCAACAAGTTGTTTGATGAAACTGGTAAGAAATTTGGTAATTAATATGTAGTATGTATTTAATTGTTAAAATTCTTGCTAATTGTAGGTACACAAATGAATTGTTGGTCCAATAAATGACCAACAACAAGTAATATTACAATATTTTCGTAATAACCCAAAAAGTAGTCTCCGAAATGCCAGGTCATGCATGGTTACCAAGGTCCCCTGATTTGTCCCCTATGGACTGCTACTTTTGGGGTTTTATTAACAAAATGTTTATAAAAACAGACCAAGGAATATGGATGACCTAATGAATTACATAAGGCAAGCTTGCGTAGAGATTACTCCACAACAGTATGTAAATTATTTTTAAATTTAAGAAGAGGATTGGAAAAATGTGTTCGATGGAAGGAGGTTTGGTGGAGAAAACTAAAACTTAATTTAGATTAACGTCTTGCAATTTATTTGTTTAACAACTTAGTATTTATAATTCATTACATTTTTTGTACGTTATTATTTTTAATTAATTAATATAATTAAAAGTTTTAAATTTATAGTACCTGTATTTTTCCTTTGTCCGCTTGGTATTTGTTTTCACTTTCATGGCAATCTTTGACCTACTTATTATAATTTTTATTTGTCTGATTTTTCGAAGTTTGGCACCCCATAAAAATAAACACTCAATAGACAATTGTCGATGAAATTTGGTATATAGGTATTTCGATGAGTGTCAAATAGCCTGGTAATATTATCTTTTTGATAAAAAAATGCCTAATATCACTTTCTGGAAAAATGATCCTTTAAAAAAATCGTACTAGACCAGTCTTTTGTCACATCAATAATATGATTAGTAGAATATAACCTCCCTTTAGGGTACTATTTGTAAAAAAGTTTTTAATTAGCGTTCATAGCTCTATCTACTGGCTTTCATAAAATCAAAAAATCTCATTCGTTTAACAAGTTATTGGGGAGAGTTTTATATGAACCACTTAGTATAAAAATATTTTCACTCTGAAATAAAATAAAATTAAAACTGTCTAATATATTTAGATTTGTAAATAAATATTCGTTTGTTTCTTCATGGACTTGGCTAATGTATTAATTTAAACTGAAATGCCATTATGAATTTAAAAGGATGCCTTTTGGACTTAAACATTCACACGCACATTCCACGTATCATTAATCAAGAGACTAAAAGAAAAATCAATTCTTTGGGGTTGAAAACGGCACAATACTTTACAAAAATAGATAATAAAAATCACTTTTAATACATTGAGTACAAGATTGAAAGTGTTTTTTAGTTTTTTTTTAGTTTGAGACAATAAAAGCTAAAATGTATCTACTTTAAGAAGTGAAGAAATTTATGAAACTTCACACATTTGCAGTTTTTTTATATAAATCAACAAACGTGGATATAAATCAGTCTCGACGTAGTTCAGGCTCTAAACATATTTTCTGCAGCTTAGATTTAATTAATGTATCGCCTTTTGATGCCGGCAGACATAAATATTACCTCTGTTGTTGCCATCAATCTCTGACAGACCCTAAAAAAATTTCGCCAGCTTCTAAGACATATATCACCACCTATGAACAAATCTATTTCTGTCAAATTTTAGCGATTCTGTTCTGTCGGTGACTTGCATTGATTACTTTTTCGTGTATAGTTGATCCATGAATGAATTTGATCTGTAAATAATAAGAATAAAATTTTCCTGGACTCGTTCTTTATAAGTCAGTTCATTTAAATGATAACCTAAACAGTGGCAGAATTTTACATCGTAGGTGTTTCATGAAAAATGGTTTCACGCATTTTCTCTTCTTGTGTTTTCTTTGTAAACAGAATATTTTATTCGGAATTATTGATTTCGGTAGATCTACAGCTAAGGAAAACATATACTTTATCGCGGAAAATGGTGAAAAGGCCCAAGGGATAAGTTTACCAGCTTTAGAAATTATACAGGACTATTCGTACTACGATGTGTATTAAAGAAATTACATAAAATTTTATAATATTTCATTTATTGTACTCTCCAAATTGAAGTGCTGTTTTAATACTTCATATCAGGGAGTAAAGTGTTAGTTTTAATCCTGTCTGTCAAAACCAAATGAATGTTTATACATTTAAAAATCCTTTGATACTCTGAGTCATAAATTACTGTGCGTGTCTTCAATTCTTTGGTTTCAGTGCAAATGTTACAAATTTTCTTCACAGAATTTATTATTTTATTATATTACATTACATTATATTAGAATATATTACCTTATATATTATATTATATCATATTATATTATATTACATTACATTACACTACATTACATTACATTATATTATATTATATTGCATTATATTACATTATATTACATTACATTATATTATATTGTAATATATTTATGGTTATACATTTTACTTCAGCACCCTACATTTTAAAAATAGGTTATAAGTCGAATGTTTATATAAAAAATATTTTTAAATTTTGATTCCTTTGTTTTTGAGATGTTGTAGTGTTGTGTCGTGTACATAAGACTCTGGCATTTTGTTAGAAATTGTAAACCAAACAAGTGAATAATTAATTTACTAGGAGCCGATAAGACGAATGAAATAATGAAATGAGCTATGACTTCACGCAAATAAGTTGTCAGTTACGAATATTGGAATCAATTTTCTAGAACGAACTCCCATTTAATTTCACTTAATTTTCGTGATGCGAATCGGGATGTAAATTCTGGATAGAGTGAAACGGGTGGTAAAGCAGAAATTTAGTGTCTTGCAGACGTCACCAGGAGGGTTCTTTGTACATGCCTGGTATTACGTTTATCACGCTGAAAGTCCCGAAACTCTCAAATGGCACAATTAGAAGCCAGGACCCAACTTTACTATTAGGAATACGCCTGGAGACCATTTAGCTTGTTCTTACATTAAACACAACCATACAAACTTGAGGTTAAAAAAAATGTACTCGTGGTGAAGACATTGTCCCTTTACAGCCGAAATAGCCACTACTCATTATCGTTATCAAAATAAATGTAGTGTGTGAAGAGCAAGCACTAAATCCTATACGGTTGTCTTTTACAGAAAAGTAATGGCTATACAGCGTGATTCACGAATTATCAAAAAAAAAACATCAGGGATGTGTGCGTTACCGCACCAAAAATATAATGGTAAGTATCTTAAGTGTTTTGTTTGTTCAGTTACTGTGGTTTTGATAGTGTTCTTATTACCGTGGTTTATTGTTTACATCAACCTTAACAGTATTCAAAATGGTCTGTGTGTTTGTGGAAGGGGTTTGCGACAAATTTTAAATATTGTGAAAGTGAATCCACATTTAAGTACAAGACAAAGCATTCAAAGTGTCTGGAGTGCCAATCAACATGAGGCTGAAATGGATCAGGGTTATTGGGTTTATGGAGTTATAGAAGCCTGCGTAGTCAGAAAGTTTCGTCATTGTACATCCTTTCACTAAGG